TTTGCGCGTTTATCGTTAAAAAGTACCCCTTTGTCGTATCTTCTCAGTTTCAAGGCACTATCCTTGTTGCCTTAGCCAGTATCCGAAGCCTCGGCGTCAACATATCGAGTGACGTGTAGTTTCGTGGTCACTTGGAAGAAAAGGCCAAATAGGCCTCTAAAAAGTTTGGCGTGCTCAGAAGAGCGGGATTTCATGCCGGCACACCGCCTGCAACTTTACAAGACGCAGGTTCAGCCTTACACAGAATATTGTTTCCATCGTTGGGCTGGGGCTCCCCAGTGCTAGCTCCTTCCACTTGATCGCATACAGTGCAGAGCGGCTCGAATCGTCGACGACCGAGTCCTTTCCGATCGGCTCGATTCATTGGCGCTGCGAAGAGATGTTGCATCTCTTTGCGTATTTTATCGCATCTACCACGGGGAGTGCTCTGAGGAATAGGTCGGACTAATTCCAGCCGCTTAATTTTACCATCGCACATCGCGACAAAACTTGTGATACTATCCATACCGTCTGGATGATTGGCGGTCCACCACTGTACGATTTAGAAGAAGTTTTCTTCCTCGCACATCTTCCTTGTAAAATCGATTACCACCATGATATGACTTAGGGACCTTCAAGAAAAGAGCCTACTCCTTTTTAAATGGCCGGCAACGCATTTCCAATTCCCCTGGTGTTGCAGTTGTTCATAAGCGGCGGTAGTCACTTAACATCAGGTGAGCCGCATGCTCGTTGCCCCCTCTCCTATAAAAAAAGAGTCTCTGGTTCTCTACACTCACCATACGAAACACAGCAGCATTAAGCTATAGCAGCTTTTATGCCGGTATTATGTTGTAGCGTGGTCCTTCTCCGGTCGAGTCTACCCATTCGTGCTACAACTATACAATTAATATAGCTGCAGTATGGCTCTACCACGTTAAACTTGAGGTAATGTGGGGTTTTAAGCCCACGTAGGACACCTGTAGATACTTGGCATTTTATTATAGTTTTTTTTAATCTAATTTTAACCAAAAAACATGCTTCCATTCATGATTGCATTGTTACGGCACAAATGAAATTGGTAATTTCAATTTAAAGTACTGATCTACCAAGTGCTCGGAGTTTAAGGAAAACATTGTGAGGGAACCTGCATGTCTGACGTATTCATCATCATCATCATTACAGCCCATCACAAGTCCACCGCTGAACATAGGCCTCCCCCAAAGAATGCCACAAAGCACGGTCCTGAGCCACCTGCATCCATCGACTTCCTGCATATCTTACCAGGTCGTCACTCCATCTAGTGGGGGGACGCCCTACACTTCGCCTGCCGGTACGAGGCTGCCACTCGAGAACCTTTCTTCCCCATCGGTTGTCGGTTCTTCGAGCTATATGGCCGGCCCATTGCCACTTCAGCTTACTAATCCGTTGGGCTATGTCGGTCACTCTATTTCTACTGCGGATATCCTCATTTCTGAGTTTATCACGCAGAGAAACTCCGAGCATAGCCCTCTCCATAGCTCGCTGAGCGACCTTGAGCTTCCTCATCCGGCCAGCAGTGAAGGACCACGTCTCAGTTCCGTATGTCATCACTGGCAACACGCACTGGGTGTACAGTCTCGTTTTCAAGTTTTGAGGTATACCTGACGAGAAGATGTGCCGTAATTTCCCGAACGCTGCCCAACCGAGTTGAATCCGTCGATTGACCTCTCGGTCGAAGTTGGACTTACCTAGTCGGACTAATTGTCCCAGGTAAACATACTCGTCAACAACTTCGAGCTTAGTGTTCCCAACAACTACCGGCATAGGTGTGACATGGACATTAAACATGATCTTTGTTTTGTCCATGTTCATCTTCTGACGTATTAGAAAATAATATTTCGAAGAGGTTTGAAGTACATCTGCAGTGTTGTTTTGGTGTTAAAGCACTCACTACCCCATATCATGTCATGGATGTCGTAAGAGGCGACAGAAGGAAAATGAAACGATGATTTTGACGGAGATGGGCAGCAACAAACTGTAGTTGCCAAACCGCCTGCTAGGCAATGCTATCATGGCAAATATTCCTTTATAAGACATTATTTGGCCTATGTTCAGCAGTAAACTTTTGATGAACTGTAATGAATGAATGAGTGAATTTGACTTTGACGTCGACGTGGTAGAGCCATGCTGCAGCTATATTATTAGTATAGTTGTAGCACGAATGGGTCGGCTCGGCCGGCTCGACCGACCACGCTCTCACAGAATACCAGCGTAAAATGGCAGCTTAACATTGCTGTGTTTTGTATAGTGAGTGTAGAGAACCGGAGATCCTTTTTACTAGAAAAGAGGCGTTCCATCTTAGTCCTCACGGATGACGACGCATTACACGCATGCACAGATGTCTATAGGCCACGGCAACCACTTACCATCAGGTAGACTGTGTGCTCGTTTGTCACCCTATCATTCCAGCGAACATTTCTTTTCACAACCCTAGACTGTAAATGTACATTTAGGTATAGGACAAAATACCAGCTCGTGTTAATAATCTTGGCTAAAAAAGATTAAAGCTTTATATTGTAGATGATTTAAGGCAAGTAATCTAGTAGAACCTGCGCCTTTGAATTCTTGCTCAGGAATTTCCCAAACCACCAAGTCACGAAGATATGAGCCTTGATATTTTGACAATCTTGACTTATTTGAAGTGACAGTGGCCTAATAGGAGCGGACTTGAATTTAAAAAGTTGAAATTTTAAGGTTCGTTCGTGTGGTTAACGGTTTGTAGAACTTGTAATAGCATTGCTAGTGTCGCGTTTTAGTTTATACCCACAGAGAATAACTGGCAGTGTAGTGCAGCCTCCACGACACCTAAGTCCCCCGCATCAGTGACCAACTCTAACTCTCTTGCTTCTAAACTCTTGCGATGGTTACATGTAATTTTAATACGTAGATCAAATGTTCCATAAATCCTTTTATAATTAAGTTAGTTTTAAAACTATTTAATTTAACGATGGCACCTATTATTGTAACATATCGCTTGTTTGCGAGAAGCTTGACATAATTCAAAAAGTGCAAGTTTTGGGTATGATGATTTAAAAGTTTAAAAAAATAAATAAATGTATATTACAGTATGTACTGAAACATTGACTATGTTAAATCTTCTTCTGATTTATCAGTCTCAATGTTAAACTAAAATACAAGACTAAAATGCAAGATTTTTTGTTATAATTTCAAGTTTTCAACAATAGGGTATCACTTGTGACGTTATTACGGATAAAAAATAATATTTTTTTTTGTGTTATTTAAACATAAGTCTATATTGATAATAAGTATTTTATTCAGATGAGGTTTTAATGACATTAAGTCATTATTGAAAACAAGTATCTTTATCATCAGCCTTTTAATTTATAGTTAAATAGACACAACATTTACTGTAGGTAACTTAACTAGGTACTTAAGAAATAAAATAATCAACAATAACTTTCACTTAAACTTAAATCACTTTAACATTAGTCTTATCTAATTTAACAATAACTTTCAAATAAACTTAAAATCACTGTAACATTGTTTATAGCAAATATTTGGACTTATCCTGAGATGAAGAACTTTTTACTTGCGTATCTGATTAAAAAAATATTTAAAAAATCAACTTAATGTTTAAATTACGACTTTAAAGAGAGTTATAAAAAGGAGCGTAATATCTGGGAATGGCATTTTTTCTGATCAACTCCAACAAACCGTCTTTTTTCTTCTTAATTAATCCTGGTCTTACGTCATACGCTTTTTTCACTTCAACATCTACAGATTTTTTCTTTCTTATCACTTCTGCTTTTTTAAATTCTTGCTGTTCATAAGAAGTTTTAAAAAATATGGCTCGAGGATGATTTTTATCTACTTTCACAACTTTCAAGTCTGCAAATTTGATAGTGTTTCCTTCTTCATTCTTTGTTATGTTTACACCCATTTGAGAACAGACATCTTTCCAATCGAGAAAATCATCATTGTTCATTATATTTACCCGAAAAGGTATAGGGTTTGATCTAGCAACTTTGATTGCACTAATAAAGGCCTCAGGGGTGTACATTGGACCACTTCTGATTTGCTTTTTAACCTGCCTTTCAATGACGGAATGCGCAGAGTCACCCTCGTTTTGGGTGTGTCCCTTAATTAAATATTTGTGAGTAATTGTTTTTATGTTTGGGTAATGTTGCACAGCAAAAATGTACATAGACAACATAATTTTATTTTTTTGCTGGCCCACACAGTTATCGGTATAAAATATTACATCCACTGTGCTGTTGTTTTGGGCCACATTTTGTAAATATTTAAATAGGCAGGTGCCCAGATCATTAACGCCCCTGTTGGCTGTAGCTTCATCCCAAACATAACATTCTACATCTTTAGAATGAAGATCGTATATAGTGAAGTTAAAGACATTTAACTTGCTTACATAATAAAATAATGAGATATCCCCTTTGGGGCATTGGAACACAGCTTGCATGTCATAAACAGCGACAACTGCATCTTTATTTTTTTATTTTTTTATAGGATACGGGTGACAAACGAGCACACAGTCCACCTGATGGTAAGTGGTTGCTGCGGCCCATAGACATCTACATCTATCCTCTATTACAAATCAAAATGTAGATGCGTTATCACCCGTGAGGACTAAGATGGAATGCCTCATTTCCAGTAAAAAGGGCCTCCGGGCACCTGCACTCACCAAGCGAAACGCAGAGGTAAACCTCTACTTCACGCTGGTTTTCTGTGAGGTCGTGGTACAACCCCGGTTCGAGCCGGCCCATCCGTGCGACAGCAAAAGCTGCCGCGTGACTCTACCACTGCTTAACGATCGACAATCGATCTACCACCATCTATATATTCTTTGGAAGAGGTGGCTCTACAATAATGGGAATCCATTCTGGGAATAGAATCAATGTGTTCCTTTATTGCTTTACGGATAGTATCATCAACTTTTGCGTGATTTTTGTGTTTCCCTCTATTATCGTCTGCTAAAAGATTCCCTGCAACTTTATTTTTTTAATCTAAGACTGTTCGGATAGGTCGATCTGTGATTCCAAGCGTATTTTAAAAAACAATTTGCACACTCTTATTTTTTCTTCATGCAAATTAAAATAAAATGCACTATTGTACCGGCGCTTTTCTCTGGTGCCACCTTCACGTACATAGCGATACTTAGGTTTTATATCCTCTATACAATTAGAAATATAATTCCACTGTTTTAAAATACTGTCTAGCGACCAATAATCATCGAATATAGACATTCTTTCAGCTTCAGTAAACTTTGTGCTGCACTTCAATTTGCATTTTTCAAAACAGGCATTTTTAATTTTACGCGCTGGTACAATTTTTTTAGAAGTACTCACATAGGATTTTCCTTCATTTCTTAGTTTTTTCATAACATTCTTTTGCCAGTTAGTTTCATCTCTTTTACGTTTTCCTCTCTTTTTTATTGCATTTTCTGTATTTTCTTGATCTGGAACATGATTAGCATCACTGCTTATGACTAAATCTGATTGTACCGGCAACTGTCTAAATTGTTCATTATCATTTTCACTAAAGTAGTCAAACATTATTGGAGACACGGGGGCTTGACTGTCAGGTGGTTGGTAGGGAGGATCCTTGACGGAATCATCACTATCTGTAAAAGAAAAGAAACGTTAACGGTCTAATAGTAATATTATTTAACTACTACCAACTTATCTCTGCTAAGCAGGCCTTGAATAAATAGAAACATATTTGAAAATATAAATTCGTAAATTGGTATAAAACTGAAAATGACCTTCAATGAATGAAGTAGATGATGAAGAACTTGTACTGCTATTGGAAGAGCTCGAGGAAGAGGAGCTGTTGGAGCGACTGCGTTGAGTATTTCCACTGCTATGTTCCTTTGAAGAAACATTGCCCTCAATTTCATTGGTATCATCGTTTTCTAAAAATCAAGTAAACAAGTAAGTTAAAACAAACAAAGTGAATTAGGAAAAATAGGTTATAAATAAGTAACTATAATTAACCTTTTTCATCTGACACTGTTTTCGGAGGTCCATCTACACGGTGATTAATTAAAGCCAATATTCTTCTCCCTCTGCTATTTCTTAAACTGGAATCCATGACTATCAAAGAAGTAACTTAAACATAAAATTGTTATTATCAATAATGACTTAATATAAAATAGTGCAAATAACATCAAGAAATATTCTGTGACTTTAACAACAATAACAATGTAACTTATAATATGACATTATTGAAATAGTCTATTGATTTATTTTTGCTATCAAAAATGTACAATAACGAATTATGACTGTCGGTATCTGTTTGTGTTTCCAGAAAGAACGACTTAACGGAAAATATGACGGTGGTTTTTTAAACGTATTTCAAATAAAAGGTCGTCTTAAGTATAGTAATGACATCTTTCTATTAAAGGGTTATGTGATATTATTGACTTACCTTGTAAAAAGAACGTCGTAACACAAAATTTGTCGTCGTCGCTGAAATCAAGCACGTGCACAATCTAAAACGTTTCCACGCTAACTGAGATGCTACGGTCTCGAAACAAAGCAGCAGTAAGATTGCGACGGAACATAAGGGCACAACCTCTCTCGCTCTCTCATTTTTGTACTTAGCGTAATGTCGTTTTTGCAGCAAATAGAACAAAATTTTCTGCGTTCACCTGTATACTTAACTCAAAACTGCTGATTTTTGAATTATGTCAAGCTTCTCGCAAACAAGCGATATTATGTGTATAGTAATAAATTATTGAACATTGGTGACGTGACTTTTTATTTTTATTATGGAACTTTCGTTCAAACTAGTATTCATTTATATATTATATTAGTAAAAGCAAGCCTCATATTTTCAGCCATCTTCAAAAAAGAAGAAGATTCTCAATACATGTAAATATTCTTTATGTATGTTGAGCGATAATTCTAAAGAAAAAAAAACAAATCGCAAAACAAACTATCTTTTAAATAGATATCTACTAAGTTTATCGTACGTATAATTCAATATCAATTTGGTGTTTTAAAGCTGACTTGATATAGAGCTGTATTTTTGCTGTATTTGTATAGTGTATTAGTTATAATGCTGAAAGCGAAAGGTAGCTAATGTTACATCACGGTGTCTACAGTAAGCCCAATGAATTCTTTCTCATTTGACTTGTTTCAATGAGCCATATACATAAAATGAATTAATAAATGATATGAAATATTTAGTCTTAGCATAAGAAGTATTAAGGTACGGATACGGATTTGAGCTGGAGCCAAGTTTTGGACAAAAACAGAAATTATTGGTATTCGCGTTTGGTAGAGTCGACAAAGGACGCCCTTGATGGAAGTTAATCGTCAGAATTGGCGATATATTGAAGATGTTTTTAAATAAGAGTACCTTTGAATGACCAGTATGTACGCGTAGATATACGGATATGAAAGAAACGAGAGAGGCGTGTGCCACGATCTTGATAAATGGAAATCTGTTGTCTCTGCCCACCCTCCTGGTTGACAGGGATGGAAGTTTACTTTTCGTTATATGAAATTGTTCTGTGATACTGCATCCTATTTTGCTATCGATTTCATCATATAGTAATATAACTTTAACGAAACGCTCCTTCCATTTGACTGCATCCAGCGAAGAGCGGCCCAAATAGTCGACGACCGACTTCTTTCTGATCGAGTCAGTGGTACTGCAAGGGCGAAGAGATGCTGCATCCCTTTGCATCGTATTCTACCCTTCTATTTTTTTCTATCTCATTTACAATGGGTATTGTTCAGAGGAATTGTTCAGAATAATTAAAGCCACCAAGTTTCATTATCGTTTATCGCGACAAAATTAGCGACACTACCCACACTATCTAGATGCTTGGCGGTACCTAAAGTTTTCTTCTTCGTACGGGAACTTTGTGGAATTGGCTAACGCAAGCGAATTTTTGGATCGATAGGACTTAGGGACCTTTACGAAAAAGCCTACTCCTTATCGTGGCTGTTATCGGCCAAAACGTCATCATAAGAACATCTATTTATAATAAATTTAATATTTTTTGGATTGTTTAATTCTTACATTAATTAAGCAAGAACTTAATAATAGGGCTATTTATTATCTTTAACTTCTGTTACCATAAAATTAAACCTTATTATATTTACTATAGTTTAGAAAACTAAGTTTTTAAATTTGATTTACTAAGATTAAACCTATTGTACGATAGTACAAGTTATAATTTTGAAAAAGTTACTTTTATTTTTCAAAATTTTATGTTATTAATAGATCATTATCTTTGATTAAATAACGATAATAGTTTTTGTTACGTACTTGTACGACTATTTTAAGCACTAAGGCTGGGTATCGATAGCCGTGAGGCATGCGTCAAGGGCAGAGGTCGCACTCTATTTCGGGGCGCGGAGACGCAGGGAGCAAAACGGAAAGTAAGTTGAAACTAATCCGGCGCGCGGGTGGCCGCAACACGACACCGCGCGCAGCTTACATTTGTCATTTATAATGCGCGCGATTTGTTGCTCCTCACCTCCAGCCAGCCTGCTTTTTATGTTCACTTATTCTTTATTCAAATATTCAAGACGTTCGTGGCTCGCAATATTTTTTATGACAGTTTATGGCTACGGCTGTGAGATGAATGAGCAGTTAGTGTAGGTTGCGACTATATATTTATATAAACATTTCTTTACTTTTTACTTGTTAGGTAGGTACTTCGATATCTGTCATAGGTCACAAAGTTTGCCTGGCGTTTTTCTGTGCTAACTTTTACGACAATCGCGGGAAGACGGAGTGATAGATATTTTGATACGATAGTCACATTTGAATTAGTTTTAAGTATATGTAATTTTAGACACAATAAAAAATACTTTGTTTAAAAAAGGTCAGTTTAAATTTATTTCTTTTAATAAAAAGAGAAATATTTATATTTAAAAAAATTGAAAATTTTATTATCCATCTAATGTGTAAAAAATATTCTTTATTTATCACTCTCTGTCTCTCTCTAGATTTCTTATGCCTTTGTAATAGAGATAGAAAACTCTGTGAACCTGGACTCTACGAAGTCTATGAAGACATTTTATATCGCTTCCTGAGAACATTTTTTTTTCTTGCATGAAGTTGTTCAAATTGCGCAAAAAATTGTAATAATTAAACGGTCGGGGCTAAGTCTAGCGAGCACGGAGAATGATGGATGGTTTCTTAGAGCAATTCTTTGTAGCGTTGTATGGTAATCTAGTAATAACTAATAATGTTAACAATATTGATATTAATTTATTGTAATTTAAAAAGTAGGTAAGTAATTTAAAAATACGTTGGTAATAATAGTTAACGATTTTTGCCGCATCGTGAAGTCGCATGTAACGACGTTGAAAATTGATTTCCAGGGCAGCACTCGTCGGTGAGCACTTCATTTCACGCTCGGAGTGTGACCGATCTGTTGCTTATTTGATTGCGTTAACTTTTAAAGCGAAAAATCGTAACTTTGCAGCTTTCTAATATTGCACAATGTGGCCAACATGACGTCCTGTGTGGCCCGCCACGTGTGTTCCCTTTTCAATAAACATTTATCAAAGGCCCGTTAGTTGCGATGTTCGATTTTCGGTGTAAAAAAAGTGGGCGCCAAAAGTCAAAATGGCGTGCATTTTGCGCCTTTACGCGACTATGCTTCAAACTCATACAATGCCACGCTCTTTGTGTCCGTTTCCACGGCACTATTCTTGATCTATTCCTTACGTTTTTATGAGCTTGTTGACTTTAAGAATGAATTATGTGTTCCGATATGGTGAACAATGTTTTGACTGGTTGAACACGATTTGGTTTCCGGAATGAATACCAAGCAAGCATGTCTCTTTGTGTGTATATTGCTTTGTTATAGAAATAGTTTACCTATGTCATATAAATACATTATAAATAATTTGTCGCGTAGATGGAGTATATCTATGAAAAACCAACTTATCCCATTGGTGTTGTCAGATGCGATTTAGAGAAAATATTCCGAAGATCTTAAAGAATCCGATAGATAGCGGTAACTTTTTTTATAGGATAAGGGTGTCAAACGAGCACACATTCCACCTGATGGTAAGTGGATGATGTGGCCCATAGACATCTACATCCTCGATTAAGAATCAAAATGCAGATACGTTATCATCGGTGAGGACTAAGATGGAATGCCTCGTTTCCAGTAAAAGGGGTACATTCACCATACGAAACACAGACTACAATTTTACGCTGGTATTCTGTGAGAGCGTGGTCCTTCCCCGGTCGAACCGACCCATTCGTGCTACAACTATACTACTAATATAGCTGCAGCATGGCCCTACCACGTATAAGCAGATGACAGAAGTGTTTCAAAAATTTATTACCGATTTTAAACCAGAGAGACATACGGAAAAAGCAAGTTAGTACTAAATATACCAGATGTAATATGACATAATATGTAATATAACCAGACCGGCGACGGAAGCAGGTTTCTCAAAGGTTTTTTCATCACTTTAAAGCGTCATGCGTCACATTGACACGTGCAACCTTGACCAAACAAAGAAGACTTCAGATCCATTGTTGTTGTAATCCCTGACAGCGGTGGATGCAGTTCGGCTTGGCGGTAGAAATAGATAAGAGGATGATACCTAGTAGGAAAAACGCCAAGACACAAAAGGAGACGCGGTAAAATGGTAGGAAGGTTTTATGGTCTCTTATAAGTGGAACTATGATTGTGGATATATCAGACCCAATGTGGTAATAGGAAGTGGTATCAAAAGTGTGACACATCTGGATTTGTGATTGCCTTTCTATTTACTAGAACAGCATTTATAGATATTCATCTATAAATCTATCTATAACATTTAAAATATTCGATGGGAAAGTTCTTTAACAGGTCATCGTTACCAGTTAAAGAACTTTCCCAACGAATATTTTAGATATAAGAACTAAAAGGTTTCATTCGTCAGTTTTACATTATACAAATGTCTTGTTTTCTCGCCTCACGAAAGCAATTGCATGGTATTGTCATAAAAAGGGCTCGGTAGGGCTCGGTATACGCCATTTCGCTAAATTGAAAATCATCCGAGAGCACCATAATGTTTTTTAATATCTCACCTGGAGAGTTATGGCTCATTTTAAGTATGCAATAT